TGTATTTATTATAAAATAATATATCTGTAATTATATTTAATGTATTTTTCATGTGTTTTGGGAATGATTCTATGGAAAATGCTAGGGTGCCACCACACGGGTGTTACTATGGGTGCACCATGCTTCGCACAGACAATTATCGTCTGTGTTTGTCTGTGCGAAGCACCCATGTGGTGGCACCCTAGCATGGTCCATGCTTCTATTGTGTGTGGACTTGAGTTCTACTCATTTTATTTTGTAAATCTTGATTTATATGAAGATTTGCTTTGTTTTTTTTATACATATATGCTCCATATCTTAGTGATGCATTTTGTTATTCCGGGGTATCGCCATGATGAATTTGATATCGATAAGTGTTAAATAAGTAAATCAAAACTTCCTCCTTTCAATATCCAATTTCCTCAATTTAATAACTACACACGCAATGCACAAAAAGGGGAGACCTTGGACAAGGGCAAAAAATGTAACTGCTACGTAAATAAAAACAAAATTTCTTAAGGGTCTGTTTGATATACGGAATTAATGGAATTGGAATTGAATTAGAATTGAAATTTCATGAGATTCAATTCCATAGAATTGAATTCACCAATTCCAATTCATTTTTTGCACTATCAATTCCAAATTCACATGATTTTTGTTCTACCAAACTCCAGAATTGGAATTGAAGTCATCAATTCCAATTTCGTAATTTGAATTCCGTGTATCAAACGGGGCCTAAACAAAATTCATGTAGTTTTTAAATACGCACTATGTAATATATTTTTAAATCCCATATGATTTTTCATAAAAAATGATTTGAAAAATAAATTCAATGAACACGAAACTAGAATTTTATTATTGAAATGAGAGATAGTAACAAATGAGAACATATTATTGTGGGAGGTGTAGAAATAGTTTATTTGGGTAAAACTTGATGCGATATTTCATTGATACATATGGGTATAAATACACTAAGGTGATACAATCGAGGAGCCCGGGTGATACAAACGAAGAGCCCCGTCAATGAATATAATGTACAAAATATATACATATGCTAACACTCCCTCTCAAGTTGGAGCATGAATATCAAAAATGCCCAACTTGGATAAGAGAGACTGAAAAAGAGGACCTGGTAAAGCTTTTGTGAAGATATCAGCTGTCTGAAAACGTGTAGGCACATAAGATGTGACAATGTGATTACGCTGAATACATTCACGTACAATGTGACAGTCAATATCGATATGTTTTGATCGTTCATTAAAGACTGGATTAGTAGCAATGAACAAGGCAGATTTGTTATCACAATACAGTCTCGGAGTTGCAAAACACGGCACATCCAAAGCAGCAAGAAGCCCACGTAGCCAGCGGATCTCCGTACATGCATTTGCCATTGCTCTATACTCGGCTTCTGCTGAAGATCGGGAAACTGTAGTTTGCTTTTTAGTGCGCCAAGAAATTGGAGACCCACCAAGCATGATGAAATAACCAGTCACCGATCGGTGTGTCAACGGACAACTTGCCCAATCAGAATCTGAAAAAGCTGTAAGAGTAAGATCACTATCGCGACGCAACAATATTCCCTGACCAGGGTGACCTTTTATATAACGGAGAACACGCAGGGCAGCATTCCAGTGATCTAAACGGGGTGCCTGCATAAACTGTGATAAGACATGTACTGCATAACAAATATCAGGGCGTGTGATAGTCATATACAGTAGTCGTCCCACAAGACGTCTATATTTGGTAGAGTCACGAAGCTCTGCACTTGTGGAACGTGACAAGTTGTGATTGCTAGGTAGAGGGGTATCAACAGGCTTACAACCAGATAAATTAGCCTCTTGAAGAATGTCGAGAGCATATTTCCGCTGATTTAACACCATCCTTGCCTGGGAACGAGCACACTCGATACCAAGGAAGTAAGAGACATGACCAAGATCTTTCAGATTAAAACATTCATCCAAATATTTCTTGAAAGCAGTACATAGAGAAGAATTATTTCCTGCAACAAGAATGTCATCAACATAAACAAGAACAACCAGCATATCAGGACCACGACGATAAATAAAAAGAGTATGATCAGCATGGGCTTGACGGAAGCCATAACACCGTAACGCAAACCGAAGTTTAGCAAACCAATTGCGAGAGGATTGTCGAAGGCCATAGAGGGACTTGCGGAGGCGGCATACTTTCCCTGGGTAAAGATGGGTATAACCCGGAGGAATCTTCATATAAATCTCATCGGTAAGATCCCCATGCAAGAAGGCATTATTAACATCCAATTGATCAATCTGCCATCCCCTAGCAACGGCAACAGACAATAGAACACGGACAGTGGCTAATTTGGCTACCGGGGCAAAAGTATCAGTAAAGTCAACACCGAACTCTTGATGATTACCCAGCACAACTAGCCGAGCTTTGTCTCGTTCCTTGGTACCATCAGATTTATATTTGGTCTTGTACACCCATTGACACCCCAAAGTTTTCCGATTCGGAGGAAGATCTGTAATATCCCAAGTATGATTAAGCTCCAAGGCGTTGAACTCCTGAGTCATGGCATCACGCCAAGAAGCATACTGAACAGCCTCACGGAAAGTACGAGGCACTGGAGAAGCATCAATAGCACCAAGAAACCCTTTGTACCTGTCATGTAACTTATTATAATGAACAAAGTTAGTAATAGGAAACCGAGTACCGGACGAAGATGGACTAGATGATGAGGAAGGTGGAGTGTCTGTTTTTGCGGAATGAAGAACATAATCATTAAGATGAGATGGAAGACGACGGTTACGAGGTGGCAACGGTTGGACAGTGGGTGGCGGAGAATTGGCTTGCGTCGAAGGGGCGTTGCTGCTGTTGTCGTCTAGGGAGGCGGAAGATGAAGGAGATGGAGGTGGCGATGGGGTAGAGACGGGGGAAGGACTGAATATGACTGTTTGTTGTGGGGAGGAGGTTACTGTGGACCCGGATGATGGAAGTACAAGAGAGTCCTCTGAAGAAGGATTTAAAATAGGCTGAGGAGAAGTAGACTTTGTGGGAATGGCAAAGGGAAATTGTGTTTCGTCAAAGGACACATCCCGAGTGTGAAAAAATTGGTGTGTCTCAAGATTGTATACTCGCCAGCCTTTAGTACCGTAAGGATAGCCGAAGAACATACATTCCATACTTCGGGGATAGAATTTATTTGTGGGCTTAGGCATTTGACGAACGAAGCATAAACAACCAAAGACACGAAGATGATCCAAGCTTTGAGGTTTAGATGACAAGATCTCAAGGGGAGACTTACCCCCGAGTAGCTTTGTTGGCGTACGGTTGATAAGATACACAGCAGTTTTGACACATTCTCCCCAAAATTCAATGGGAAGAGAAGCTTGAAACATAAGAGACCGAGCAACATTTAATACGTGACGATGTTTGCGTTCGACCCGGCCATTCTGTTGTGGAGTTCCTACACAAGAAGTTTGAATGCACACACCCAAAGAGTCATAATATTGACGTAAAGAATCATTAAGAAACTCATTACCATTATCAGACCGAACCATTTTTATTGTTTTGGAATATTGAGTGTGAATCATGGCAAAAAATCGCTTAAGACATGATGTAACCTCACCTTTTGTTTTGATGAGGTAAACCCAAACAGCCCGAGAGAAGTCATCAACAATAGTGAGAAAGTAATGTGCACAGATGATATACAAGCAGAATATGGCCCCCACAAATCACAGTGAATTAAATCAAAAACAGCAGCAGCTTTATTATTACTAACGGGAAATGAGGAACGAGTTTGTTTAGACAAAAAACAGATTTCACAAGTTTGCAACTTCTTGACAACAGAGTTTGTTTTATTTGAACCAAGAAAAGGTAAAACATCTGAAGATGGGTGTCCTAACCGTTGATGAAGAACAAACAGATCGATATTAGCTACAAGAGTTGACACTGGAGGGGAAGCAAATACATACACACCATTTCGCAAATCACCATGTCCAATCCTCGTCTTCGACAAACGGTCCTGTATTACACAACAATGATCATTAAAAGTCACGTAACAAGCATTATCACGAACCAAGCAACCAACAGATATCAAGTGGCAATGTAAGTTTGGGACATATAAAACATTATGAAGTACCAAACGTGGTGACAAGTGCACACTTCCCTGTTTAATGGCATGAACACAAAAGCCATCAGGTAGACAAATCGATTGGGGGGAAACATCTTTAATATCAGACAAATGTGATAAAAGTCCAGTCATATGATGAGAGGCACCGCTATCAAGCAACCAGTCACAAGTGTAAGATCCAGTTGCTTCGTATGCTGAGAAAATAGCCATTGGGAACCAAAATTTGTTGAACGGTTGGGAATTGAGGTTGGCCCACTCTGGCCCACTACTGAACTTTGCACCAGTGGGATTTGTATTCAAGTGCGGAGTATTTGGAAAAGTTGGATTACCCCCCCCCCCCTTTTTGGCCGACTAGAACTGGACGGACGAACTGGAAATTTGACGGCGAATATGGACGGATGAACTTGACGGCGACGTGAACTGGACGGACTGGAAATCTGACAGAACTTTGCCGGCGAATATGGAAGGACGAACTTGACGGCGAATCTGACCACTTGCAATCTTCCTTGTAGCCGATCGGAGAGGGACCAGGTACGAACGATGACTATTCAGCACAAAGAATTTACACCAGGGACGGACGACGATTGAATCAGCACGACGATAGAAGCTTGACGGCGTAGCTTCGCTGTGATGCAATCGGCCCTTCTTTGAGTTTTACATATTTTCCCAAGAAGAAGCTCCGATACCATGTAGAAATAGTTTATTTGGGTAAAACTTGATGCGATATTTCATTGATACATATGGGTATAAATACACCAAGGTGATACAATCGAGGAGCCCGGGTGATACAAACGAAGAGCCCCGTCAATGAATATAATGTACAAAATCCCCCCTTATATTATAAGAGCCTATGAAGTTTGCTGCCGTTAGTATAGCCTTTTTTCCGTCCCTCCAATACGGACAACAACATCTCCACCTCTCCCTAAAATTTCTTTTTCCGTCTCTACCTCTGCCTTTTTCCGTCTCGCACTTTCTTCACCGTCATCCGCTTCTGATCTATGCCTTCTTCACCGCCACCGCCTTCACCGTCAACCGCCCACGACAATACCCTCTCACTACCGTCACAGTGATACTTCAGCGCTAATTTCCGCCAATTTTTCCTGAATATCTGCTGCGATTCATCCAGGTAATTCTTCTCTTGTCTTCTCCTTTTGCGTCTCCTTTCTCATATTTTCTTCTCCGTTATTTTTCTAAGTCACACCTTTGTAAACCACCATGTCTCTGCTGCTTGATTTCTTTTTTACACTCAAATATCTTGTAAAATTAGGATTTGTTCTTGCATCTAGGAATTGATAACCACTCTAATTGGAAGTGTTAAGTTCTGTGTATATGTCTCGCCTATTTTCTTATGTTCAGATGTTCAGTTTATAAACCTATATGCATGCAAAAGGTTTGCATTTAGCAATTGATTGAGGTCGATTTTGAATTTGTTCACATGCTCAATATTTGAACTTGTGTGCAGGCAATGTACTGGGCTTTGACTTTGGTATGTCTCTGTTACTTAATTTCTATTCAAGAAGAATTAGAGCTTTAGGAAAACAGAATATCTCTCTTTCTTTTTCCCCAACAAGCCTTAGGAATACAAAAAACAACAAATTTCAATATGCAAAGGACACATAAGGTGCAAATTTTAAAAATTTATACTAATTGAACATCTTAAAACCTAGATTATTTTTTTTCTGAGATGCAAGATTACAATAAAATTGAGATCAATTTGTCTAAACAAAATAGAGATCAACCTTTGAAAACGCATTAATGCCTGAAGCTTTTACTTCTCACACATGTTCAATATAAGGGTTGAGAAGGATCAAAATCAACAAGTTGAAATAAAATTCAAGACATAATATATTGATTAGTAAAATCTCTACAATAGAATATTTTTTTAAAATATATTTAGCAATTTCTGGACATCTAAATCCAGAAAAGTTCTCAAAGAACCAGAAGGAGAAAGAATATATTTTTAGACATATAATGTTAGGTTTTGGCCCATGAACTTCAAGTTCTCAAACTTCTGAACAATATATATGCTACCATGAACTTCTTATACTCTATATGCTACCAACATATGTTTTACCTAGAAATCTGTTCTCTTCCAAGACATAGAAGGAAATTTTAAAAAAAAGTATAATCAAATAAGACATACACTTTCAAGTTCAAGGTATACACATTTTTTTAAAAAGCTGTGTATCTGATTTTTTAACAATGTCATTTGTTGTTCCGTAAGTAAAGTTTTGGTTGATTTAAAAAAGGGTAACAATATTGTAAAGCAAAACAATGAGACACTGTAGTACATTGAAGTCAGTTGATATTCGTTTGCAGGAGCACTCCATCTCAAGACATAAAAGAAAACATGTTAGAAAATTATAAATGAAATGCGTATCTTACCAGAGGCAAATGTATACGTAGTTACGTACTTACTACAAATCTGCAACATGAACCAAAAGCGTTAAAACGACTTATATAGACAAGGTTAGCTATACTTTGCATAGAGAGACGCATGTGCTTCCTTTTATACTTCACTTAAGTTTATATATGCTTGATTATAATAGATTGATTATTCTGTTATTTGATATGATTCTCTTAGATGTCAGTTTCCATGATATAATTTGTAGTCTTCACATTTCATATAAATCAAATTTTACACTTTGTTTTCAAAGCATGAATTTAGATTACTCTTGCTAAAAAATTACACCTCTAATTTCTGATTATTTTTTACTGGTTTGCAAAACGACAGAATAGACTATGTTTTCATTTGTTACGTAGAACTGGTACACATCAAACACTTTCATCTGGTTTTATATTATTTTGTTCCATTTTTAGCATGTTTACTGAGTCACCCATTTAGTATGTTTATTGCATTGCTTTGTATGTACTTAAATCATAATTGTGCCAAAACAACCAACAACATCAATTTCAACATTAAAAATTTACTACTCCAAATTGTCTTGGGGAGAAACTGCTTTTTTTATATCTAAATTTTTACATTTAACACAACAAAATCCCAAACACAGAGAAATAAAATATGGGAGGCAACGAAGAATTTGAAATAGGATAAATTGCAACACAACATTTTCTTTTACCTATCCTGAACTTGAAGTTGATTTATTTATTTTCCCTAACCAATTGAAGTTATTTTACTACTTCGCACCTTAATGTTGTTCTATTTTGCCTAAAGATAAAACACTACTTCTGTTATGAATTCTTTTTAGTTTGACTAAGTCTTAGATCAACATTATTCTTTGCATATTATCTTCCTTCCACTCCACATAGTAACTACATGCAACTGTAACGCCACAACATCTTCGTGACTTGTGTTATTTTCTGGCTCATATTTAGTTTCAATGGAAATTAGCTCTACCTCTACCCGTACAACCATTGAAGATAACCGGCGTGAACAAAGACACTCCGCTTAGGTATTGTGAAGCACTTGAAAAAAGAAAAAAAAAGATTACTGGTCCACCTAAGGTCTTCCGTTTCTGTACTGGTTGATTTATAATTCCATTTTAGCTTCTTTTTAACTTTCATGTAAAATTGCTAATCATTTCTTTTTGTGGCTCCGGAAGGCATTCAGAAAACACCCATCTCTTATGTGGCAGGATCATACTATCAGGTTTATACTGAAATTTCTCTACTCCTAGATTACATTCTTTCAGTCAGTTTTATTTATGTGGTTTTTAAACTTTTGTACTTTAAAATAATTAGAACCACCGAATACTGGTCATGTCTAATTCCCTCAACATAGGGTGTGTATCCCTGTATAGTAAAAAGGTGTTGTCAACTTACAACAAGCCACATACCAAAGAGAAGATACCATGTTTTCATTATTGTGCCTCCATCAACTCTCTTACCAACACACAAACGGTGCACTTCTCAAGAGAAAACAAAGAGCTGAAAGCAAAGATGCTTGACATGAGAAAGGGGAAAAGAAAAAAATAATTTGAAAGTATCTGGCTTCAGCGCAATGAAACTACTATCCGTAACACATCACTAACCCATATGCAGATCATTTTCAGATTTTGTCAAATAAGTTTTAGCCTTAACTGTCTGTAAAATATATGTTAACTCATGTTCACTCAATTTTTTTGTCACATAAGTTGTATGACTCTAATCGTGTAAAATACTGAACCTCTCACCCCTTTTATCAAATAATATACAGCATGCTAATTGCGGATAAGCTCATGTTCACTTAAACACTGTATCTTAGGGTGTGTAAGAAATGGAAACATGCTTTGAGTTTAAGAAATGGAAGCATTTCTTACACATGCTTGGGCAAACTTAGTGTGTAACCTGCTAGTATATACATATGCTAACAGGAGGGAGGCCGTAAAAGATTAAAAAGGAATCAAGGTGAGTTAGTAGTAAGAAGAAAGAAAAAAAAGGGTGGACTAGAAGACCAACCATAGCTTGGAAATCATCCGATCATGAGCATATACGGCATCCGAAACGACATTGACGACGCGTTGTCAGCTGCAACAAATTCGTTGGAGTATTCGGTAGGGGAGGAGGAGGAAGATCTGGAAGAGCTGGTGAGGGAGTTGACATGGATCAAGTGCTTCATAACCACTTCCCACAGGACGGAGATGGGGGTTGAGGTTGCCCGGGTCTGGGTTTCCGCCATTGAGCGCCTTGTTCACCAATGTCTTCATGATCTTCATGTTAAACCTACTGCCGATTTAAAGAAAAGCTGCGCAAGTCTTAGGGAAAAAATCCAGCCTTTTGTGGTCACCTGTCAGTGCCATCCCGCTCCCTGATTCTCCATCATCATCATCATCATCAGGTTCTGGATCTATTTACAGGGATTATATTTATTTAATAAATGCTTTATCTGGTTTCTTGTTTCTGGATTCTGAACTAGGGTTTCAATTGTTCTGGTATTGTTGTTGTTGATTGCTCCAGATCCCACTTGCGTGAGAGTCATGTGTTTGAATAAAGCTGGCTTTTTTGACAGTAACAGTACTACTCCCTGCCTTTGCCTGTTTCAATGTTTGAAAATTGAAACCACCCCACTTAGAATCATTTCATGGCTGTTTGATTCTTTATGTTTGAGGGAGGGAGGGAGCATACCTGTTTGATGTTTTTGGCTAATTCGATCTGTTTCTTTGCCTTTGTTAGAACATTGTTTGTGCTAAATAAATCGGTTTATGTCCTTTGTTCACGAGTGTCTCTTGGAAATAGCCTTTCACTCTCGCTAGACCTTACGTTTGTGTGACTTTGCGAGATTTGTTGTTGTTGTTGTTGTTGGTGTTGTTTTGCTAAATCGGTTTTTTTATAGACGCGTTTTTTACAATTTCTTGACAGCGAAAGAATTGGTCCGAGTAATTATACAGAGGAAAGACAGCAAAGTTTCTTTAATTTGTTCTATGCATATGAGTATATGTATATATGTATATCAATGCCTACCTCTAAACTAAGACAATAAAAGAAGGAAGCGAAATAGTTACAATGTTTTTTTCCATCATGACACAACAAATCAGACAATTCTGTCTTAGAATTTTGATTTCAAGAAATGCATGCTTGCACTTGTTGTCTTTCTTTTCATTCTATGTTTTCACCCCCCCTCCTTAATTAGTATGTACATTGAAGTGTTGTTCTGTATCCAACAAGACTCATCCCCTCCTCTTTGCCAAGTGGAAACTTTTCTTCAAGAAAAGATTGGCAGATTTGTCATTCCTGTAACAAAGAACTCTCAAGATTGTGTTGGGATCTGACCTGCTCCACCCCCCTGTTGTGGGAGGCATAGGCAGCTTCTGCAGTGCTCCCAGAACGCCCACACCGCTCGTTTCGCACGCCACACTGCTGAAGTCCTCTATCAATTGCTCCGTCGACTGGCCCATCAACGCCAGCACCCCTTCCACCGTCTCCGCCTCTCTGTCAACCACGTCTTCTGACACCAAACCTTCTCCGCACGTGCAGAAGATCTTCTTCAAGTTGTTGAAGTCCTCCTCCAGCATGTGGTGGTCCGTCCTGCAGAACACTCGCGAACACCCCCCGGCTAGCAGGACCATGAGGTACGCCTCGAAAGTCGCCTTCATCACTTCTTTGATCGCCATGGGTTGGGCCCGCTCTGTCACGATCGCGCACAAGAGCGTGAGGTTCTGCTTCAGCACTCTCAAGGCCGGGAGTATTCGCGCGTTCTCTACGTCCTCCACGTATAGGCTTCCGTAGAGGACGTAGTTGGAGTCGAGGAACACCAGTCGGTACGCTGATGCTTCTGACACATGTTGGACCGCTGCTCGGATGGTTGCACGTGCCTGTCGTTGCGATCAAAGGGCATTATATTATGACAGCAATGAGAATGTTATTATGTCAAGGAACCAACTCAACCAAAAGCTCAAGCCTGTGGTTGTGGCTCAAGAAAGATTATTTATATTCTAACATATTATTAATGACTAAATCACCTGATCAAAGAAGGATATGGAGCTCGAGAGGCTACTCTTAGTGCGACGAATCGTTGTGGTGGACGGGACAACTCTCGGATTGAGGGAAAGGAGTTTGTCGATGGCGTGGAGTTGCGAGAGAAGGTAATGCAGGGTGTTGAGGCGGATGTAAAGTCGTTGGGTCCCACGGCTCGTGGAGGGGCGCACGTGATTGGCATCGCTAATGAAGCGGTGGTGCTCACAGTACACCCCCGCACTGCAAGAGCCCTTCCTCAGCAACCTGAAAAACCGCGAGTCTTGGCTACATCTCGTCAGTGGAGGGAGCGTTGGGACATAGTTCTGCTTCGATCCTGAAACCCGAGACCCGAACATATCGACATCAACACGATTATTACGAAATAACAATACTAAATGTCACGGTGAATGATATCTATCGGATTCTACTCACCGCACGATTCGACGAAGCTAATGTATTCGCAGAAGACCTGCTCGAGGCCCTCGGCGAGATTGTGGACTAAATCATTCGTTATGCTAACCGGGAGTTCAAAGAAACTGTCCACCGCTTCTTTTCCTTGCTTCATTAGCTCTACTGCAGATTGTGCATACGGCTCATTCTTCGACTTGGGGTTCCATGTCTACACATTCAAAAACAAAACAGTACAAAACACAAAGCTCCAATATGGTTAAAAACAATTGATGATGTCTGGAAACAAAAACTTGCATGATTGAGTGAGTAGTAACCTCAGTGTCTTTAGCTCTCTGGAGAATGTCCCTCCCAATCTTCACCTTATCTTGAATCCATTGTCGGACAAGTCCCGAAATGATGGACTCAACTTCGTAGGGAACCATCTCTCTCACAATGGCTTTCCCTCCATCCTCGCAATCCACCGAGTCCTCGACCACCATCTGAACCAGCACATTTTCCAACGCCCCGGCCCTCTGTAGGACCCGAACTGTCTCCTCCGTGATTGTCGTTACACCACCTAGGTACTGCTTCAGCAGCGTCCCGTAGCAGGTGTGCAGTGTCACGGCGGCGACTCCGGCCGCCACCGGATGCCATTTCTTGAGGGAGGAGCTGAAGATCTCCTTCTCCTTGGCTGCCAATTCTTCCGCCGCGTCGCCTAGTTCCATCAGCGTGTCGCTCACTTCTTGCATCTCGAACGTCGCCCTGTCTATGTTCCTTTCCTCCAAAATCTGTTCTTTTTTTTAAAAAAAATTCAAATCAGAAGAAATCAAAATTTGGTATCGAACAGAGTCCATACTACGAATCACAAACCTTTGCGAATGCATTTCTCATGGAAGACCGGATGTAGTGGTCGACACGATTTCCGGCGGTTCCATCTCCGACAACGGCGTGACTTGCATGACAAGGAACGTCCTCTTCCAAGATTTTCGAGGCCAGGAAAACCAATGGAAGAACACTCTCCATCAGACTCACATTTCCCTTGTCGAACTTCCGATGGTAATCGAGCAACCTCTTCTCCGACCATCTCTTCATCGAACTCAAAACGCTCCCAAGTATCCGGACATAAACCGGCTCCCTGTCCGCTTTCTTGGCGTCATTTGCAACCTCGGCTAACATAGCCAGGGAGGCTCCGAGGAGGTCCGGCTCGACCTGTCCTGTATTGAAGTACTGCTCGAAAAGAATCCAAGTGAAAGATATGTTGTGAATTGACCTGTTTATCCCTAGGGTAGACCAGGTCTTCTTCATCAGCTCGAGCAGTTCGTCGACCTCGTCCAGGACCAACGTGTCGTCCTTCATGTCGAACACGGAGGAAAGCAGGGCCATGTATATGTGGACGTTGAGCGGGTACCCGTCCGCCCAGTGGCAAATATCGGTGGCGGCGGAGGAGTCCGCGACGGGTCTCCAAGCTAAGGAGACGACGGAGTTGACGAGGTTTCTCATGGGCTCGGAGTTCTTCCCAGTGTCGAGTGGCTTGACGTCGGCAGCTTGAATGATGCTCCGGAGAGTGGAGGCGGAGGCGTTAGATTTCTCGAGAGGGACGGCGGGGTGGCGGAGGAGGCCGGCCTCAAGAATCCTGAGCTGCCGCTTCTGCCAAATGTGGTACTCGTGTGGGTCGTTGAATTCGGAGGGTTTGAGGTGGCGCAGAAGCTCCAGTGGAAGGATTATTGTCTCTGCTCGCCTCCCCATCTGTCAACAAAATGACATTCTCACACAATAATTATGAATAGACAGTTTTGACCTTGGAACCCCGGGTCATATGACTTGGGAACCTACAATACTCTCTTTGTAAAATTGATGATTCCTACCCCCTAAACTCCTCTAAACCCTACCCTTGCCCTCCCTCTACCTGCTCTCCCCACCACAGCACCCCCTCCCCTCTCCATTTCGCTGATTGGCTACAATGTTAATTGACGAAATGGAAAGGAGGGGCATGAGACGTTGTAGTGGGGTGGGCAGATAGAGGCAGGGGTAGGAATCATCAATTTTATGAATAGAATATTGTAGGTGCTCTAGATCATAATATGAAATTAAGAACGGCCCGGTTCTAGTGACACCGGAGAACGGTGCCACTAGCGGTGCCACTGGGTTTTTGGGGTACCTCCGGTGCTCCGTTCGTAAAATTGACGGTTCCTAACCTCCTAACCCACCCCCTAAACCCCCACCCCTGCACCCCCACCCCAACCCCGCCGTGCATAATAGCCACACATTTTGTGGGGGGTTACGGCGGGGTTGGGGTGGGGGTGCAGGGGTGGGGGTTTAGGGGGTGGGTTAGGGGGGGTAGGAACCGTCAATTTTACGAACGGAGTACCGGAGGTGCCCAAAAAACCCAGTGTCACCGGAGTGGCACCGTTTTCCGGTGTCACTGGAACCGGACCGAATTAAGAATATGAGATTATTATTATAAAAGATATGAAAGATGAGTGTTATACGTACGTACTTGGCCAACAAGGGTCCGCATGAGAGTTTTACGAAGCCGATTATCACTCTGCTCGGTCACCTTCATTTGCCGGCGCATGATCTCAGCAGATGTCATCGGCCGCCTCCCTCGCCCCGGCACCGTGAAGTTCATCCTCGGAGATCCCCCGGCGTTGGGTGACGACGGCAATGACCCGCACGAGCTGGCCCTCCTTGAAGGCGACCTTCTCAACATCTTCAACCCCAATGCTCGCTTCACCTGGCTCGTCACCGCCATTCCCACGCCTTGCCCTGGCACCTATGCATACACACATTATATTTTCCCTTCGTCGCGTAAGATATAGCCGGTGTTTCTTAGTGTTTATAAGCTTGGCAAAACTGTTTTTTGTTCTATTAAACTTATAAGTTAGTTGATGACATATTTTTGTGTCTTATAAACTAACTTCTAAGTTAAACAAAATTTGCAGATCTTGTCTACTTATTTTTAAGTCTATTTTTTGTTTCTTCGTTTTGACCAGACATTTACCAAACTGTCTCTCACCATCTATGATTATTTTCAAATGACTTATTATCATTTAAGTAATTTTACTTCTACGGAAAACTATTTGACTTATAAGTTAAAAACTGTTTATCACTAATGAGCCTATAAGCACCACAGAAACATCTCATAGTTATCGAAAAGAAAATTACAAAATTCAAGAAAGAGAATAGCGACCGTTGATGTGACCAAAAAGTTACTTCCTCTGTTCTAAAACTTTTTTCCCGTTGCGCAAAATGAAGAAAAATCTTAAGTTTTTTCAATCTATTTTATTGAACTATTGGTAAAGAAATAAAAAATAAAACATACATATTTAAAAACTACATCAAAAGTTCAACAAAACAAGTGGTGACAAGAATATTTTATTTTATCATATAGGCCATGAAAAAACACAAATAAATATAAGTTCCCGTGAAGTTGAAATAGTGCTCTGAAAAGAAAGTTTTAGGACGGAGGGAGTATAAAAAAAGATAGAGTTGTGTTTTAGTGGTGTTAAGAACTACATGTGAAATGTGAACTTTTTACATTTTTCATATACTTATATGTAGATTTTTTCTTTTTTTGCAAAAAAAACCCAATTTTTTCACCGGGATTAATTATGTGCTAATGTCCATTAAACATATTAACCTAAAGACCAAGTAAGAATTTGCCAAAAAATAATTATTGAGAAGAGATGGGACTGTAATACCTTCCTTGGGGACCAGGTTCCAGAATCATGACCCGCTCCTAACCCGTTTCCGTCTCCTCCATCGGATGGACTGTAATATGATATCGCCGTCCGGCCGCCGAACCCCGGCGACGACCGGCACGCCGTGAAAAATATCTCGTACCCCGCTTCCCGGAAATCATCGGTGTCGAGGCCGTCGAGGCGCCCGAACGGCCATTCTGGGTCGCTGGGGCACTCCGGGGCAGGCCGTTGAGCGTCGTTGTTGCCGACGCAGATGATGGCGTTTGAGGGCGGCATGCTGACTCCGGCAGGGAGGTGGCAGTCAGATATCCGGCGGAAGAGACAGCGGAGAGGAACCGGCCAGCATAATATGTGTTTTTTTTCTTTCCCTTTTCTTTAAGATTATTTTCTTGGTAAAAAAAAATGAGCGAAAGAAATGGAGGGAAAGAACGAAAAGAAGAGAAGGTGGCGAAGAAAACGTTAATTCAGAGGTTGTGGGATACACAATGTTACCGGCCATAAATCTAAATAAAACAAATACTGTAAAAAAACTTCGAAAATATTAAACGCCATATACTTTTTTTTTTTTAAATTTTTACTTTCAAGTATCGTAATTCCTAAAAGGATGGGTGTAATCTAACTATTCGGAGAACACATTTTTTTGAGGTTTTTTTTTAATACTTTGAAAATTGTGCATAATTTTTATAAACAAAAATAAGAATTCTAATAAAGATTGATCGAAGAATTATTTATTTTTGTTTTTTGAGGAAAGATGAATATATTGCAGAGGAGAATGGTTGGTTGAGCTAGAGCGTAAGCAACCGAATTCGCTAAACGATGAGCAAAAACAAAAGAAATATCAATCTGGTCTTTAGAGATCTCTCCGTTCCCGGTGCGCACAGGGAGTTATTGCAAATAATAAAACTAAAAAAGAGTTTTATAAATCACAGCCGTCCACTCGTCGCCCAAGAAAATCACTGCCGTCCAATATAACACTTCTCTAAAAAAGAGTCATTTTTAACATTAACTTTTTGCTGTATCACATTGTGCGTTTCTCCGCAAATTGACATTTTTAACCTCTAACAATGGAGTAATGATCACTTTACATCCTCAAAAAGTAAAAATTAATCAATGCCCTCTCAAAAGTACCATAACACTAAAAACTAAAAAAATACACCCACAAAGAGATCAAATGTTAAAACACTCCAATATGCGCCCTCAACAAGTTAGCTTTCTTACTAATGAATTGAAAGGATTCTGTCGCATAGGGTCGGGCTATACTCACACTACGGATGACACCTAGATTGACACCGTCAGTGCTTCACAGACAACAATTTCTCCCAGAAAACCATCTTCGCGAGATTATCTCCGATAATGTCAACAGTAAAGTCTCATTTGCATTACGCATGTGATGCTCGACAACAACATCGTAGCCAATAAGGCCGTGCGAAAAGTAACCGAAATTCATTACCAAAAGACTCATCACAATAGAGAATAGAGAATACAGAAAGTTCAACATTGGAAGACAAAGAAGAAGAAGAAGAAAAATAGACTCATATGGTGAATAGAAACTAAAAACACGAGGCAAAAAAATAAGAACTAGTGCAGAAAATAAAGGGTAATAATGCAAACGAAAAAAAGCTCTAGTAGTACAGCTTAGTTATATTCTTACCGAGCACGCGGTCCCACATTCAAGAATGCCGACCAGGCATGCCACTGTAGTTGCTCTCGTACCCTACCCGGCTTCCGTGGGTCCCATTGGACCCGTAGTTGCTAGATGGATAGGCCGGTGCACTTCCATATCCATAACTCCCGCCAGCGGTGTTATACCCACCACCGTAACCTCCACCACTTCCTTGCATCTCTCCGGCACCAACGCCGCCAGCAGCAGGCGAATTCATTCTCGGAGCACCAGCAGCACGTCCTGCATTTCCTACAAACCCACCATAACTACCATAGCCTTGGTTCATGTACCCCACCATCCCGGAGGGTGATGGACCTGTAGCAGCTCCTCCTCCTCCACCACCATATGGTGAGTTCCCATAGCCAATACTCCCATACCCAGTGGGGCCCTGAGAGCCCCACGGGCTTCTTGGTCCACTACCGGGCGCGTTTGGGTTCCCATAGCCAGAACCAGTGAGTTCACCGCCATAGAAAGAGTTGGTGCCACCAAAACCTCCATATCCACCATAACCCATGACGCCGTTCTGATGATATCCATAACCAGATGAGCCATAAGGGGCGTGGGGATACCCTACTCCACCTCCTCCTCCAGTGTTTTGTGATGGCATGAACCTGTTGGAATCAGATTTATTACCACTGTACCCGTGATAGTTACCACCCGCAGAACGGGTCCCAGAGTTAGGGTTGCTAGCGTCCTTGGGAAAAGCGCGCTTGACTTCAACTTGCTTCCCGCTTAAATCATGGAAGGTCTTATGTAAAACACGGTCTACGGCATCTTCAGAATCAAATGTGATGAAACCAAAGCCACGAGGTCGTGTTGTTTGCTGATCAAACATGACAACCACATCAGTCACGTTTCCGTATGATTCAAAGTAGCGGCGAAACTCCTCCTCCGTTAGGGCTGGCGGTAATCCCCCAACAAATATTTTCTTGGTCCGGTTATTGCCACCACCACCACCTCCTCCTCCTCCAAAACCACCACCATTGTGGTTGCCATTTCCTGCTTTAGAGATCTGCTGTTCCTCTCTCGGTAAGGCCCGTTTGGCCTCCACCTGTACATGCACAAGAAAAGATATCCATTTTCAGTAGAAACACCAAGCTCAATTTCAAGATTTTTTTAAATAATCTTTTTTTAATTCTTCCCTTGGACGGGTTTGAAGTTTGAACTGTAAAATGTGCATCACACACAGTATTAACCACACACACCAAATGTCAGGTTTAAGCTAACACAAGCAGGAAACTTAAACAAAAATGGCACATTTAGCGTCCAAATTCACCTGCAGAGTGAATTTACACTGATGAAATTACATAATATTCCATTGAGGTTTATCAAACACCACACAAATTCAATTTCAAGATTTTGTTTTTACACAGTTCATATCTTGGAGATGTTTGAGCTGTGAGAAGTGCAGCAAACACAGAATAACCAAAGGCTAGGGCAATTACAAGTAGAAATTGTAACCAGAAACAGCACACTCTAGCTGGGGAAAACACGATCAAAGTACTTACTCGTGCTAGACCTAATTTTAAAACACTTGAGAGTCAAGAATGAAGACTTTTTTTGTTAAAAAAAAGATTGAATTTTGATCTAGAAAAAGGTGTGATGAAAAAAGAATCTTACAGTACGGCCATCGATGGTGTGCTTATCCTGGAGAACGGAGTCAAGAACGCTGGGATCTGCGAAATCCACAAACCCAAAGCCTCTGGGCTTCCCAGAAACCTTTTCTCTCATGACCACAGCCTGAATCACCTGACCATATCTCTGAAAGTAATCCTTGAGCTTGTCTTCATTGGTTTCCCAAGAAATCCCACCAATAAAAAGCTTCCCTTGATCTGAATCCATGGAAGCTCGGTGCTATATCTCTGCTTCTCCTTCTTCCGCCGCACGCGGAGGCGGTGGGTGTCGGCTCTTCGGCGGCGTCTGCGTAAAGAAGAAGAAGAGAGGGAAAGATTGGGATGGCGAAGCCGCCGTCAGGGGGATTCACGGGGCTAAGAGAGAACCAAGAGAATTGGACGACGAGTGGACGGCTGTGATTTTCTTGGCCCGAGGGTGGCGATTGATTTGGGGCAAATTTTGTTCGCCTTCGGATTGAATAATTGAATATATCCGCTCTATTTTGCTTCTTCAAATTGGGTTGCTTTTTTTTTTTTTAACTTTTTACCAAAAATTACTCTCTCAAGATTTGTGCGTCTTTGATTCACTGGTCAAATACTGTAATTTTAAGGTCCGAATGATTTATAAAGTGCTTTTGCATCATAATTTTTTCATGAGAGTTTTGTTACATAAATTTTTGAACACTGAAACTTTAAGTATGTTCAACGAATATATTGTCGGTATAGGAAACATTCTTCGGGCCTGTTTGGGAATAGCATTAGAGATTAGCGTTAGCTTTTGGATAAAATTTTAACGGTGCAGATTACCTTGAAAACACTAACGCTAAACACAACCCGTAGATAGCCTTTTTTCAAAACACTAACGCTAATCGCTAACGTTATTCCCAAACAGACCCTTCATTTCTCAATTTATTCAATGGCGCGAAAACTGAAACTATTAAATTTTTTACCCTAATGATGACCTTTTTTTAATCTCATACGTATTTCGATCGAAAACGAGAAGGAAAATGTAGCTTGTGTAAGAAAATTGATATTAAGTTGCGGGTAAATTCATCTTTTTGCTCTATTTCAAAAGTTAGAGCTAATAAGATTAGTTCTATTTCCAGAAAATTGCTACTCCGTATATCTTATGGGAAAAGGAATGAACTTTGAGTAAAAACATAGAATAAATATCAAAATAAGAACTCTATGTTTTTTTATCCCTAAAATACAAATATAATGTCAATATATAATATCAAAAAATACACTGAGATGCAACTGTGTAGTCCCTAATATCACAATGAAAACTCATATTGTAGAGAAAAATGTAGAAATCGCCTTATGTAACACTCTAAGACACCCAATATTACACCTATAACACTCCTTATTGTTTTTCACACATTTGGCTATTTACAGCGTGGATCTCTTCCAATCATATTCTTTTATTGTAATGCAATATTTTAATTATTTCATTTACCATATTTATTGAGATCTATAATTTTAGGAGGTTATTCTCATTCCTTGTACGTAGCACTTAGAACCGTCGTGTCACTCCTCACTGCTTAAACACATTTAATAAACAAAGTTAGAAGTGTATGTCAACTTTTTTGGCAGTATGGAATGGTCATGTTACGCTTACACTTTCTGGTAGTGTGTTATGCCCATATTTTGGGTAATGTGTTATGGTTCACAAGACTTAACTATACTTTCTAACAATTTGTTATGCCGATGTTCTAAAAGTGAATACCAACTTAAATATATTTTTAGGCATTGTGAATTGATCATGCTTTGACAGTGTAAATACATGTTATATTGGGTATGACAGCGGTGTGTTATGCCCATGTTCTAAAGTGTATACGAACTTAAATACATTTGTTAGAATGTGTGGAATGCGAGGACAAAGTTGTAATTGCATCCACACAAGTTCCAATATCTCATAACAATGTTATATTGAGTATTTTAAGCATATATTAGTGTTATGACGGTACTTCTCCCAAAAAAATATAAAACTTTTGTTTCGAAAATAAATACTCCCTCCGTTCCTGAAAACCTTTTTCCTTTCTTTTTTCATCCGTCCCAAAAAACACTTCTCATTTATATTGAAAAGTCACTTTTATCCCTTACTTTTTCATACCTTACCTATCATATCATATCTTTTTACTAATAATCTATCCATCAAATCATACTCTTACCCATCACATCAAAGGACATTTTTAGAAATTCAATATCAAAATACACTCCCCTTAAATCCCTCTTCAATATCAAAACTCCCATGTTTTCTGAGATGGAGGGAGTATTATGTTTTACTTTGATTTCTTATGTTTTATTCTATTTGTGTATTTATCTAAAAAATACTAGAAAAAGATTTATGGCAGCAACTAAAAAGAAATGGACGGTTAAGCAGCAACCGTTCATCCCAAACGCCACCTACTCTCTCACAGTTTCACTAACAATCTATTTATGTGGTTCTTATTAAGCCATTCTCATCTCCCTGGTTTTGCATCCTCCACTGAAAAAACAAACATCATCCAAAACCCCAAACCAAACCACAATCACCTCTCCATTTCACCTCTCTCACTCACTCATTCAAGAATCAAAAGAACAGTTTCTTGGTGAATTGGGATCTCTCTGCACTCCATGGCTGCTGCTACTTTTATCTCTGCCCCTGCAACTTTCCACGGCGGGTTTTCGGCTTCCCTCGGCGGCGAGGGCTACTCGGCCCTTGCCCGGACAATGCCCGTGGCTGTTCGGGTTTCAAGCCCGGTCCGGGCGCAACCTATGATGAAGAATGTTAATGAAGGGAAGGGGCTTTTTGCTCCAATTGTTGTCATTGCCAGGGACATTATTGGCAAGAAAAGGTTTAACCAGCTCAGAGGCAAAGCCATTGCTTTACACTCTCAGGTTCATAAGAAAAGTTCACATTTTTAGTCCATTAATGAATCTGTTCTCACTTTTTCATTCTGTTTCCTATTGATTAATGCTAGCTAAATGAGCAGAAAGTACAAAGAGTGACAAGAATAGTCAAACCAAAATGGAAAAAAAAAGAGAGATGATGAACAAATTTATGTGCTGAAATGAACTGAAAATAAGTCAAACCCCATTTGATGGCTAAATTATTCCATCGGTACCCATTTTTGAGATTTAAATATACATGTAGAAACATGAGAAATAATATGTGTAAAATGTAAATATATGGACAAAATGTATTTTTATCTGGAAACCGAATGGGTAAAAACCATGATTCTTTTTTTTACGGTACCATGCTAATAGGGTGTTTTACTATATATTTGGGTAGTGTTTGGGTGAGAGTGGCTTGGAAGCCATTAATGGGGGAAATTGGAGCTCAATGAAGAAGATGATGAATGATGTATATGGGAGAGGGAACAAGGCCTTAACTCACATGGACAAAGAAAAGGAGAAAGTTGTTTTAGTTTATTTATTCATAACTCAAAGAAAGTATAAATCAAATGCATAGAACTTTTCAGGTGATTACAGAGTTCTGCAAATCAATTGGAGCAGATCCGAAGCAGAGGCAAGGATTGATTCGGCTAGCAAAGAAGAACGGGGAGAGGCTTGGGTTCCTCGCTTGACGGTTTCATCATTTATAATGGTCAGAATAATCTCAGAAGCTTTGTATTTACTGTTTTAAAAAAGATTTCAGACAGAATTTGTTTATATTTATGCATTCCATAGTGATTTACCATTACCATCTGATCCCAAGATTAGGCCAAAATGATTGTTTGATTAAGCCAAAGATGGAGTTGCTATGTCAAACTCTGCCAATAGACATAGGTGTTTCGGAAATTACTAATCAAGAAATGGTCGTATCCATATTAACGAAAAAAAGCATTAGTGATTACTAAACACAGCTAAACCAGAATCTCCTCTAACAAGCAGGCAACCATCAATAGCTGCTCCTTACTCCTGCATTATGGAAGAACATGTTCAAATACAAATATTCAGAACAAAATTATGCAACGGGCATCGAAAAAATATGTTGTATTAAGCAGGAATTAGATTGGGACTTAGGGAATAAGCAGAGATTATTTGCAACTAGTCTGGTCAAACTGAAAAAAAGATGTTTTGTTCAATTCTAACAACAAAAACACATGTGGATTATAGAACCTCAGTTTAACACTCACTCTTCCTAGGCTTCACATCTCTGCATAGCTTGCTACCGCATTGGCATTTGAAGGCTTTCACAGGATGATTGTGGTCATCATAATCAATACCATAGTCCTAAAGAGCACACCAAATTTCAAAAACCAAATAAGATACATACGTACACACACACACACACACACACACATATATATATATATATATTATATACACATACATACATACATGCATGCATGCATGCATACATACATGCATGCATGCACACACACACACATAGTGAGTCTTTATTATGAATAAGGAAAGAGTATGTTTTACCCACCCAGACCAACTCTTCCAAAGCATTAACGTTCCTTGTCGTAAAGAAGGCGAGCTGTAGTATATTCCATTTGTAAGAATGGGTTAATAAGTCAACAACGATAACAACAAACCCAATAAAATCCCACATAAATCAGGGTATGGGGAAAAAGAGATGTTTCCAAGAGCCCCCCCCGGCTTCATCTCATAAAAGGAGAAATTGTTTATTAAGGTACAACTTTTAAATTTTACTCCGTAGTAAGGTGTAAGTGTGTAACCCTAGGAAATCTACAATTATGGCTCAACTATTTACATTCTTTTGTTGAGATTAAAGATGGAATTTATTAATGAAAGACATACGTGGTAGTAGTGATGGTCTGGAGTCTCGACTTCCACAGGTATCTCAACCAAGTTGGTATCGAAACATCTATTAGCAAATAGAAGTCAAAATTAGCTAGCAATAGGCACTCATAAAATTATACAGTAAAAAAATACGGAGTTATAACCTGTGATTTAAGAATCTTGCAACATTTCCATAATGTGTAGCATCCAAACAGAGTGTCTCTTCGTCATTCAAAACTCTTTCAGAAGTCCAGTCAGCATCTAGCAGCACAGGATAGGTATGCCTCTCATTAGCACTGTTTGCGTTCCGCTCATACAGTTCCATGTTGGTTACAATTTCTCCCACGTACTCACAAACAAACGTGCCTTTGGGCAAGTTCTCAAGCGCTCGGACCCCCCAACCTTTCCCATCAGGAGTCATAAAAACCTGGTTTTTACACAAATAGATCATAGTTACAGCAAAGATGCTCCCACTATTAGGAGTATATATTAATGCCAAGAATTATACTACAAACTTAAACATAAGGAAAATAAGATTCCTTTGTTGAAATATGGCTTCTTCTTCTTCTTTTTTATAGAAAAAATGAATTTTTTGAATGGGATTGTAACCTGCAAGTTCACAGATGTGCCACGCTGAACAACACGGTTTCCACAATTTTTACTGCAACCACACTTATGCCAACACTCTTTGATAAACTTCCTAACAAGGTGACCTTTGCATTTCCCAGACAATCTCTCACTACCATTTGACCTCTCAAGTGGGCAGTCTTGACAGTAAACATGTGGGTGTTTTTTAGGCTCACGGTTCATCGAGACGAAATTCTCAAGAAAGTTGTCCTTGAGTAAATTTTGCCTTGTGTACGCAAATTCGCCAGTTGTTTCTCCAGCACAGGCGCATGGTATTTTAAGAGCCAAACAGTCCCCAATGCAACCAGAGCAACAGTCATCATCAGATATACGGGCGAGAAGGAATCTGATTCGGGCTTCTTGGAAAACGACGTTTTTGGGGATGTACACAAAGGCAGGTGGCCTTTCGTGGTTAAATTCATTTACCAGAGAAATTTTCACCTCTTCTTCACCTTTACTAATGTCTTCAACAAAGTAGAAAGGCTTATGTGAAGGTCGTTGCTTCCAAGCAACAATTGTTTTGCAACTTCTCTTACGTTTCATATCTTTCTTGATAAAAACGGTTTCCAGCATGTTTGAGCATGGGACCACTGGGAGTGAGGGTTTGACTTTCATCAGGTTAAGAAAATCTGGTGCAATGGAAAACGTGTATCCGGATTTAATGGGCTCTTGATTCTGTTTTGCGCGTAAATTGGTTTTGACTTCACAAATGGCGCCAGACACAGCAAGAAAGCACTCACAGGTGAATTCCATCAGCCTCAGGAATGAGAACCCAGGCTGAGTAATTCCATATGATTCAATACACTCTTTCTGAACCATTTCAACCACAGATTCTAAGCTTGGGGCACAGAAATCTAGTGGTAGCGAAGATTTGTCGTATATCAAAGAAATTTTCACTTTCTCGCTGCCAGGAAGGGATGCAATGTCCAGCCGTGAATCCGAATCTGATTTTCCGTTTTGTTTCTCCTCTGAGTACAAATCTTCCGAGTCCGGGAACTCCAAAAAATATCCATTTGAAGAGTCGTCTTCACATAAAGAAAACCATAAAAGTTGAAAAGATTAGAATGAGTAACCTTTTCATGCTAAAAACTTGAGTTGATATTTAAAAAAGATGTGGTAAGTTCAGATTAGAAGAAGAATACTCTATGAAATATCCAACATTATCTAAAATAATTTCAAACAATTAACAGTCCCTAACAGAAACAAAAGAGATCTCCTTACAAATTGCAGTAAAGATTAACATAATCTACTATCATAAAACATTATGCATATTTTACTTTCCTTCTAATAAAATCCATAATTCCACAACAAAAACAACAGAATGCTTTACAGAAGTGAAGGTACTCCCATTAGCCTATATCATTTTCAGTGGGTGAAACAGAAGGACCTAAGGTAAGCTCAAAAGAATCCTAAGGGTGAGTTTGACTGTATATAAATATTGAAGGAATAACATAACAGACTCGGTCATATACTCCGTAATATTTCTATCATTTTAAGAAAAAAATATTTACCATTTACGAAGATAGAGATTAAGCTCTTCAAAGCCATTCCCCCAAAACCCTCCATCCCTATTGACCCAAAAAAATGGATAGACAAAAGCCATTAGGCAACTGAAAAACCTGGGTGGTCATCAAAGAGTGGCTCGTTGACAGATTCCATAGCAGCAGAGTGAAATGTATGAGGAGCATCATCATCATTGCATTCAGATTTTAATTTTCTTTCAACCGTGTTTGAATTAACTGGCATTGTGTCTTGAACTTGATCATCTTCATCGTCACACAGCACTACAATCAAATCTGGTTTTTCCACAAGGGAAAAAAGATGTTTTGGCGAACTGGATATATATTCTTTGCCTTCTAACTTACTTTCCAGAGAGTAATCCAGAAATTCATGTTCATCTTCTGCGCGCACATTTCCAAGCCAGCGGATCAGTTCTTCGTCGTCTTTCTGCTCAAGGGACCCCTAAATAAGTGTTAGCCAGTGTTGGACAATACCCTGAGAAAAAAATGTAGAAAATCTAAACATGTAAATGCAAAGATTTACTAAAGTTTACCATTTTGTCCTCGCTGTCTAAGATGGAGTCAAGAAGAACAGAGTAGTTTTGTTCTTCAATGAGATCCCAGTTTTTTTCATAGACATCCAATAGTTTCTTCAGTATTGGTTTCACTATTTCTGTAGAATAACCAAGGGCATTCATTGCCTTGTATGCCTTTCCATACCTCCAGCGCACATTGGGTGCCATTTTGAGTGTGCTTGCAGATCTTTAAAAGACTTAATGTTCCTAACATGGCAAAACAGTGTCCAATCTTTCTCATATTCATGTTTAAAATCACAAAGAGATAGTATGACCAAACTCACAGATTATTTGCTAAACCCATGTTAAAATGCATAAAAATATAACCTCAAAATGAAAGAAAAAAAAAGACCACAAGAAATAAAGAATGACCTCAAAAAGCAGATGCGTCTGCACAATATAAAGACAAGAAAGAAGAAGAAAGAGACATTGTAAAACCCTCTGGTTAACGTGAACAATGACCATAAGATTCAAAACCCTAACCAAACGTTAAAGGGTTTTAGAAATGCAGGTCTGTTTCAGTCTTTCAGAGCATTAGGTGTAAATTTCTTGATGAAAAAAGTTTGGGTTTTGTTGTTTACCTCTTCTTTGAAGAATAATGGCGAAGAGTTTCTTGTAAATGAAGAAACTTTTAGCCAAGAACAGTGGAAAGCAATGGAAAACAAGACTTTTGTGCAATTGTGTAACACAAATAGCCTCGTACTATATTTGTAAAATCAACAGCAATGGTCTTTATCTTACACCATTTCTTCTCTCCTCGCCACACATTTTTTAAATTAACCGGAGTATAATTTTTAGAAGAAAAATGGTGTACAACTTGGTGTGACCAAACATTTTTTAAATTAACCGGAGTATAATTTTTACAGCAATTAGTTATCTCAACAATTACCATGCAGTAGAATTATTATGAAAGGCACTATTTTCGAAGCGTCATACTGTGTTTTCCCTTAGCTTGCAGCCTTGCACCATTATCTGTGACTAATAATTTCCCTAAAAGGCACTCCTCAGTTACAAATCTTATCTTCATCAATATTGTCTCTCCCTTCAAAACATATTTTTAAAATTTCCATAATTTCAAAACCTTGCACTTACATCTTTTCTAACCGTTTTTCGATCATTTTCCAGTAATCTTTCGATTTAGAGGTTTATTGTTGCCTATTTTTCAAACCACATAGAGCAACCAAGCTTATTTTGTATTTTTCTTTTTTCTCTTTTTGTTTTTTCCCTTTTTTTTAACTGCGAGTATTTTTTTTCATTACTTTGTTTTCTATTCTTAGAAAAGTTTTTTTTATTTCTTTTCTAATCTTTTCAAAAATAAGACATTTAAAGTACTTCCTCCGTCCATAAATAAACTTTCCGTTGCGCGTTACGATATTTGACTGAAGTTATTTTCAAATCATTTTATATGAAAAATGGTGTAAAATTTAAAAATAAAAATTACATATTAAAAAACTATATCAAAAGATCTACAAAACTAGAGGTGACGTGACTATATTATTTTATCAAATGGGTGACGAAAATTAGCCAACAAAGTGATTAAAGTTTGACCCTGTGAATAGTGAACGGAAAGTTTATTTGTGGACAGACGGAATATTTTTTATACCAATAATTTGATGTAATTTTATATTTTCATTCATTTTATATATTTTTATATATAATCGGTCAAACGTTTGATACGCAAAGTGAGACGGACCGTGAAATATGAATGGGGGGAGTAACATTTTGTTATTAATACTTTCCCTCTCTAATTAAGGCAACTTCTCCTCAACTTGTTCTTTAAAGAAATCTCTTTAAATAGGAATAAAAAAGTTTGAAAAATATCAAAATATGAGTCTTATGTCTTTTAGGACTAAAATAAAAGTATAATTGCAGTGTGGGGTAAGAGTATGCGTTGGCATTATCATGAAAAAGTGATGACAATGTAATCTGTCAAAGTGATCCGTCAATTGTCGACGATCTGCAGTAGTACTTTGGTGGCTAGCGGCAGCGGATGACGGTGTTGCAATGATAGTGTGGCAGTTACAATGTGACAATGTAGCGAGTCGGGCAGTGTAACAAAGACAGTCTGAACTTCTATTTTGGTCTTAAAAGCATATGACTCCTATTTTGATATTTTTATATGAGTAGTTTTTTACTTATATCTAGAAAGTTCTCTTTTGTTTACCTTGTTACTTAATCTTATTAGAATCTGATCATATCAGAAATAGTTTTAAATATAACTACATCTAGTTCAAATCAGAACAAATGAGATCAAGTAAAGAGAACATGACCTAAATTGAAGAAATAAGAGTGTTGGGGGCATTCCAATGCAAAGAAATTTCACTCTTTCATACTTTTCTACGTCAGCATGTTAGCATTTCTATACTCTTCTTGGAACTTCAGAAAATTTACCTTAATCTTTAGACTGTCACATCAATATTCCACTATATTTTATTCTATTAGTTTTTATATATATTTATTTAGTTATCTAATATATAATTTTATTATAAACTATCTTTTCTACCAAAATTATTTATAAATATAATTAACCATTAAGAAAGTCAACAACATAAAGTTATAAAAAACATTATATAAACTAACACGCATAAAATAGAATAAATGCATTTCATTAAAATCATTTAAGTAAACATACCTAGAATATAAATTGTATAAAATAAAATTTAAAACACAATAAATTAAATTTAAGGAGTACATAAGTAAACATAATTGAAATGTAAAATGACATGACATTTGCTCCTTCTGTTTATGTATTTTGTTCCCAAAAAATTTAAAATAGTCCTTTTAAAACTGCATAAAAGAATGTGTTTTGTTTATAAAAAAGTGAAATATAAATTTGCATAAAATAAAAATAAAAGAAAACATAACAATATAAACTTGTATGAGTTGACATAATTGACGATTGCATTTTATAGTCGAGGAGTTTTGGTTGTTTTATTACAAAATAATTGTAACTATTTTTTTCAAAAGAGTCTTTTTATTTATTACACATATCTAATTTTTATTGGATGAATGAAGTTGGGAGTCTTACAAGTGAGTCTGGAAATTAAAAGACTCAACTTCAGTCTTTTTCCATTTTTGTCCACCCCAATGGTAAAGTCTGGAGAAGAAAGTCTTTAGAACGTGACTTATTGGCCAAAGAATTTTGGTCCTAATTAAACGGTGTAATTTATATATTTTTTATTTCTATACCAATTTATAATAAAAATAATTTTAAAAATGATAAATTTTGCAGGTTGTTCAGAGTATGATATCCATTATGGGACGGAGGGTATACTATTCTAAATTTTTTGTTTTGTTTTGAACAACGTGCATATTTCTATATACTTTTAAATGATTTTATTTACAAGTTGGTTTAGAAATAAAATTACTAACTTACATATTTAAAAAAAATCATCAAGAAATCAAGTACAAAACAATTAGTGATAAAAAGTTTAGTTTATCAAATGAGCAATTAGGTCCAGAAATTTCATTTAAATTTATGCATCTCAATAGTAAGAAAATACTCGTTTGATTTATATGAAATTTACCAGATCTTATACTCATAAAAGAATTTGTCTACACATTTTTAAAATTTTACAATACTCATAAATTTCAATTGGATTGGTTTTATTTTTGTAAAACTCATCATATGATTAAAAGTTAATTACTACGGAGTACTCCGTATTATATATTGTCATTCTAAATTTTCACAGAAATCTAAGGTCGTTTGGCAAATTGATCTCTTGAGGCGTAATAAATCTTCAAACTTTTTCTTATAAAACTTTTGCAAGGCTACGATTGAGCCGGGTTCAATCTGGACGCTCCCTCGGAGCCCGACCAGTGGTGCCCCCAACTATTTCTGTCGCTGCAAAAGAAAATCCAAAATTGAAAAGTGCCAACCCTAATAAGGCATCACTAATGCTCCATTTGGAATGAATCATTATAGGCAAAGTCCTTAAAAAGAGATCTCCATGGGGTTTAGCATTGCTTGGGATTCACAACTTTGATACAATCAAGAGTTGTAAACAGATGCAAAACCAGAAGTTATTGCCCATTTTAAGCATCAGTGCTACAACTCTGATGACAATAGTAAACCATAATCATGGTCAAGACACATTTTCAAAACTAGAACTTGATCTTGAGCTATATTCTGCTACAAGCTTGGCAAACAATGAGGATCTGTTCTCAAGCAGACTCTCCGGCGTGTCATATTCGGCAATCAAACCTGCACAAACCCAAGAAAACGAAACCACATATTAAATGAGAGAAAGAACTCATATCTTTATACATTAGTCTTTTTTTCTTTAGTGTTCGGTGTGAGACTAAAAAGGACAGAAAACCCAACCTTGATCTAAGAGCAGAACCATGTTGCTGTCCAACACGGACGTGATCCTATGCGCGATGGTTATAACAGTGGAGTCTGAGAAGTGTTGTTTGAGGGTTTGTTGTATCAGATTGTCTGTCGCGGTGTCGACTGATGCCGTGGCTTCATCAAGTACCAGAATCTTGCTCTTTTTCAGGAGCACGCGGCCAAGGCACACAAGCTGCCTTTGTCCCATGCTCCAGTTCTCTCCATTCTCGCTTACTGAAATGTTTGTCCATATAATATAACATCATGGACTGGTATTACAAGCTGATAAAGATGCCGTGAAGCGAAAATTATGAAGAAGAACCTGAAGAATCGAGTTTGCCTTCCTTTTTTCTCACTTCATCTCCCAGTTGACACTTATCTAGAGCCTAGTTACGAAGAACGAAAAAGAATTTCAATATGTGTGTTCCCACCAACAAAAAAGAATCAAGAATCTTACGGTTGGACTTCACGGAGTTCAAGAAAAGTTTTGAAAAGTCAAAGGTGTTGCGTTTGACCAAGGGGGCTTAATTACCTCCCAAATTTGTTCATCTGTGTACTCTTCAAGTGGGTCCAGATTGCTACGGACGGTACCCTCAAACATGATTGGATCTTGTGGGATAATGCTCAACCTAGACCGCAAATCGTGCAGTCCGATCGTGGATAAATTGACACCATCTATAGCTATTTCTCCAGAAGCCGGTTCAACTATACGGAAGATGGTCTGTATAAGAGTTGACTTGCCACTGCCTGTCCTCCCAACCACGCCAGTCTTCTTCCCTCCAAACAACGTGCACGTGATGCCTCGTAAAACAAGAGGCATATGTGGGGCATATCGAACCTATATATATCACCAATATGTGTAAATGGAACAAAAAAATGTTTATCGATAACTTGAACCAACTCATATTCAAAAAGAAGAAGATTTTAACCTGAAGATTGTTGATAAAAACCTCTCCGTTTGAGGGCCAATTCGGGTCTGGTCTGTTGGATTCAACAATGAGAGGGGGCTCGCTAGGGATAGTGTTGTACTGAAGTATTCTTTCTACTGAAATGATTTTGTTCTCCATGTTGCAAAGATTCCATACAACCCAAGCTAGTAACGTGTTGAGATTAAGCCCATATGTCACAGCTAAGCCGGCAGCACCTGCAAATGTTTAACCAAGATATATATATATATATATATATATATATATATATATATATATATATATATATTATAAATATATTCGTATAAAAACAACTCTTGATTTGAAGAAAAAAAGAGGCATAAAATATCTCAAATTGCTCACTGGCATTAATGGTTCCAAGTGGAACAGAGATCAAGAACACCAATGAAAAGGCAAAAGTGACCACAGACAGCACATCCAACCGGAAGCAAAGCCACTCCATAGCACCAGCAGCATGAAACTTTGGACGATTATATCCATCGATCAGATTCATACTCAACTCGTGAAATCTGGCCTCCTGGTCAAAACTTCTAATTGTAGTTGATCCTGATATAGTTTCAGCAAAGTGTTGTATGACTGGAGCCT